AAAAAAAAAAAAAAAAAAAAAAATCAAATATACCTTGTATTGTGTACTGTATGTTGCTTCAGGTACTCACCAGCATTGAATATTGTTGGTGTTCTGAATTTGGGTCATTCTTATAGATGTGTAGTGGTTTCTCACTGTTTTAATTTGCATTTCTCTAAGGCCACAATGTGATAGCTTTTCATATGCTTATTTGCTATATAAATATATTTTCTTTGGTGAGATATCTGTTAAGGATGCTGGCCCATTTTAAAATTGGGTTCTTACCTTTAAATTTTAAGAGGTCTTTGTATATTTTGAATAACAGTCATTTTATCAGGTATATCTTTTGCAAATATTTTCTCCAGTCTGCAGCAGCTCGTCTTTTCAGTCTTTTGACTCTTTCACAAAGTGTACCCCTAACCTTTTTTTTTCTTTTTGGACAGTACTGGCAATTGAACCTTTGCACTGAGCTATATTCCTAGCCCATTTATATGCTTTTGTTTTTTGTTATTTTTAGACAAGGTGTCACTAAGTTGTTAAGTTGTTCAAGCAGAGTTTAAAACTTCTGATCCTCCTGCCTCAGCCTGCCAGAGTGCTAGGATTAAGGGTATGTGCCACTATACCAGGCCAGAAATGTTTAATTTTAATGAATTCCAGCTTATCAATTCTTTGATAGATCATAGATCATGCCTTTGATGTCATATCTAAAGAGTTGTAACCAAACCCAAGATCTCTTAGAATTTTTCCTATGTGATATTCTAGGAGTTTTATACTTTTATGTTTTAATTGAGGCCTATGGTCCATTTTGAGTAAATTTTTTGAAGAGGGTAAGGTTGGTATCTATTTTTTTTTTTATATGTGGATCTTCAGTTGTTCCAGCACTGTTTGTTGAAAAGCTATCTTTTCTCCACTATATTGCCTTTGTTCTTTTTATGAAATATCATTTACTATTTTTATGTGAATCTATTTCTGAGTTGTCTATTCTAATCCAGTGATCTGTTTGTCTGTAATTTCACAATACTTTCCTGTCTTGGTTACTATACCTTTGTAGTAAGTCTTGAAATCAGGGAGTTTCCATGCTCCAACTTTGTCTTCCTTTTTGATATTGTGCTGGC